GGCCGCGCGGCGGGGGGCCGCAGGGGCCGCGCCGAGGCGCCGCGGGGCGCGGCGCGGTTCCCCGGGTGGGGCAGGCGAGACCCCCGCCCGAGGCTGCGGGAAAACCATATTAATGGAAAGACAAAGGCCGGACCGTCCGGCGGGGGCCCTGCGGGAGCGGGGGAACGAAATACGGTTCAGGAAGGGAAGGAGAAAAGTTTCGCGGGAGAGGAATTATCATCATAATGGAGGTAAAAATGTGAGCAGGGGGAAGGGGGGGTGGGGTGTCCTATTCTGCTGGCATTTTCTGTCTGTCTTTGTGATATGGTTCGGGGGAAAAAGGGTCCTTGATATGCGGCTGATAATTCTTATCAGCCCCACGCAGCCCATTTCCAAAGTAAGTGTTTTAATTACTCCTCCTGTATTACCCTTCATCCTCTGAGAGGAGATACATCGCCAGATTTATGCAGGGGGGGGGAGAAAATACAAAAGAATGCGGTATTAAAATATATACATATATATATCCCCCTTTTTTCCCTTGTGCCCAGGAAGAGGGAGACGCTGTCGCCAGCCGCGCCCTGGGATCGCCCCTGCACGGAACGACTCTAAAACGAGGGACCGTCGCTCAGGCGGACAAACTACGGCAAAAGCGGGGTTTGAAGCCTGCAGATTTTTCCCCGAGCTGGGACAGACGGGGGTGTCCGAGCCGGGGGCTGGGGGGGCTGAGCCCGGCGGAGGCGCAGGGCTGCCCACCCGAGGCTCACCGCGCTGCTGCCTGCTCGCCGGCCGGGCTGTCCCGGGCTGTCCCGGGGCCAGGGCCGACCCCCCCAAGTGCCACCAGAGGCATTTGGAGCCGGAGGGGTGGGGGGTTGCGATTTTCCCCTCATGTCCGCTGGAAGAGAAGGATGTTTTCCTCTGCTGTTAAGCTTTCGTGCTAAAGATGTCATCTGAAAGTCTGGGAGGAAGGGGGGAATTGTGATCTGCTCTCTTCCACGGTAACAACCATATTCTGCATATTGAAAAATATGATAGACAGTGGGGAAGGCGCACTTCCCCCCCACCCCCTTTAAAAAAAAAAAAAAAAGAACCAACCTTTTCAATATTGATTCAACAAAAAAGAGAGGGAGAGAATTTAAAAAGAGAAGAAGCAGCACCAGCAGCAGGGAGAATATAGGCTCAGCAACTCTCCAGGTTCGCTTCCTTATTATTACTATCCAGGGGTAATTTTTCATCTCTGCTAGCTAATCTTTGTTCCTTGTGAAGATAATGAATAGCCCAATCCTTATCTCCTGGGCTCCTGGAGGCTGCTGGAGAATGGGGTTGAACAGGGTTGAAAATTGGTTCCAAAGTGCTGCTGAATAAATGGTGTTCCTTATCTCTCTCTTCCAGATTATCGGAACCCTTTCAAAACTCACACAACAAATACAGCCACCGCATCTAATGCATCATTTACCAGAGCAGATCTCCGCGTTTGATCGGCAGATAGGCAAAATCTATGTATTCCTTGCTTTACTTAGTATGCATGGACGCGGGGCTGCTGTGCATGCAGGGTGCCCCCCGGCTGGGCCTGGGACACCCCCGAGGCTCTTAGCACACGCAGGTCTTTGCTGTGGACTCCGTGGAGTGACAAGAGTGTCCCCTGCCTGTCCCAGACCTGGGGGAGCAGGGTGGGACAGCAACCCACCTTGCAAGGTGCTGCCGTGCGGCACGCTTGGAAATTTGGGGTTGCTCCGCTGGGGAGCTGGTGGATTTGCAGGGAGAGGGGAAGAGGTGTGAGCATCATCCTGGGCACCCCAGGCACCCGCTCACACTCACGCTCGCTCCTGCACCCACAGCTGCGTTCACCCATGCCCATGAGTGGCTGCTGAGCCCCAGCTGCATGGCAGCACCCCTGTGCTCCAGAAAGCCACTTTTAGGCTCAGCTGTGCCCTAGTCCTGTCCCAGCCCTCGGCAGTCTCGGGGCCCAGCTGGACCAGTCTGGTAAAACCTCCCAGTGCCCCCCCCAGCTTGTCCCCCCCCAAATCCTGGCAGGCCAGCCGTGGAGTCCCCCAGGGGCTGGGGCCAGCTTCCAGCCCTCCCTTAGGGTGCTGGGTGCTCCCCCCACATCCCAGCCCCAGGCAGAACAGGGCACCCAGGGCAGCCCAAATTTGGGGAGCAACTGGTGATCCTGGGGGAGAAAAATAAACAAATAAACTCCACAGAAAGGGAGTCCTTCTATGCTCCTGGAGTTAGTGTGAACGCTGTCCCTTCCAGCTCAGGGCAGTATCAGGTTTTCCTTTCTTTCTTTCTTTCTTTCTCTCTTCCTTTCTTTCTTTTTTTCTTTCTTTCTTTCTCTCTTTCTTTCTTTCTCTCTTTCTCTCTTTCTCTCTTCCCCACCCCCAGGTTTTCTTGTTTCTTACTTCCCCCCCCCCAAAAAAACCCCAAAAACCAAACCATCTGCATAACAGTAAATGCCTTCCAGTCTGGCTGTGCAGCCCCCAGCTCCAGAGCAGATCCCTCAGCCCTGAGCTGGGGACAGATGTCCCCTCAATTCTCACCCACCCCTTCTTTCCCTAGCAGCGCCTAAGCTTGTGCTCAGGTACCAAACAAGGTGGCATTTTATTCTGCGCCACCGCAGCACACCCCTGTGTCCTCAGCTCTGCCCTGGACCCCCCAGCCCAGGGGGGCAGCAAGATTCTGGGTTGGGGACGGGACATCCCCTCTGCCTGTCCAGCAATGCTCATCCCTCCCCTGCCTGGAAAGGGAGAGAAACTTTCGTGGGAAGTTGTGGGCAAGCAGCAGCCCCAGCCAGCTCCTGCCCCTGCTCAAGAGTTTTGCAAATGTTCAACTTGTACTAATTTTTTTATGGCTGTATTCACAGTTGTTCCCTGTAAAAAATGGACCTGTGTTAGTTTATTAATAACCTAAACATTACGTATTAAAGACCTATGAGTGACACAAGATGACAAAAAGCTGTATTTTTCCAATATACACAAGCACACATTTAATAACCTTCTATTGCATCTCAGCTAGGCCTTCTCTCTGATGGTTCCCATGGCAACTGAGATAAAAAAGCAGCCATTTTCCATATCTCTATGAAAGTCTATTATATTGCAGGATTAGTTCATCTTCTGCTAAGGTCAAACACAAAGTCATACAACCTGAAATATTTAGAATCCATGTACATTCATTTTTTTATATGCCCTTTCATTTTCCACAAAAGACTGGGCTCCTCTGAGGTTTTATTCCCCAGAAAATGCTAAGCAAAGCAATAAAAAAATCATGATTAGCAGCTGATGAAAAGTTCAATTGTTTTTTTTTTTCCCCAGGTTTTTTTTTTTTCTTCCCCCCTTTAAAAAAAAACCCACTACTATTGTTGAGCAGATAGTGCCTTCCCCATTTATCTCTATCAGCAGCCGTGATTGCAGCCGATACCGGCCGCCTAATTGGGCTGGGAGCAATTTGCAGGCGGACGGCGTCACCTTCTGGCTAAGGCGGGTGAGACAGCGGCGGTGCAGGGTCAGGCCCGGGGGGGTGGTGCTGGAGCCGCCCCCCCCCGCCCTTCTTTAGCATCCCCCAGCCCGCAAACCGGCGGCCCCGGGGCGGGATGTGCCCGGGTGGCTCCGGGCCGTTCCCCGCCGGGGGTACCCCGGGGGTGCGCAGCTACGGGACGGCACCGCGCAACTCTGTGCCGCTCCGTAAAAATTAATATAATCTTGCTACCAGCTTGCAAACGTTTCAAGAGTCCGTGTGTGCTTATTCCTGCCATGATTAAACATTTTTACTTGTTGGTGTGGCGTGATGAGGTGCTCAAAGGCTTTCACCTGTAAGTTTCAGCTATTGCACGCTTGCCAAAAAAAAAAAAAAATAATGTGTAGAACACATCTGAGTTGCTCCTGCGAGCCCCGATCTCTGGTGTGCTGTGGAGGGGGAAAGCAAAGTCACTTTTCTTTTGTTATGAAGGAGTTGGCAATGTAATTCAGCTGGGTCTTGGTGACACCTAGAAACGCAATAAAATAAAACCTGGGCAGCCTTCAGACAGTTTGAATGGTGACAAACGTGATATCGCCTATGACATGAAGAACTACAGCTCACACTTTTTCCAAGGTCACTCCTGAAAACCTGGAAAATCAGGGGAGAGAATTTGTGCATGTGGCCATCCACACTTGTGGCTTTGTTCACAGTTACCTGCTGCAATGTGACATTTATTTCTGCCCCTTTTAATATGGAAAAATAGAGTCTCTGGAAATATGTGCAAAAGGGGAGAAGCTCATGGGTGGCAGAAGGATTAAAACTTTTTTTTTTTTTCCTTCTTTTCTCCATCCCCTGGGGGCCCCACAGGGATGTGCCAGTGGCTCTGGCCATGCTGTTGGAGCAGCCTGGGGTGGGCCAGGCAGGGGGTTGGCAGGGATGGTGTATGCCAGGCTATCCCTGCAGATGACCTGCACCTGCTGCGGAGAGGTGGAGTGGGAGTGGGAGATAGGGGCCAGTGTGGGCAAAGCCAAATCCCAGCCCCAACACTCCATCCCCTGCTGCCTCAGCTTCCCCCAGCCTGGGTGAGGTGGGCGGCACAGGGCGCACACCTGCACGGTGTTGCCAGAGGTCGGCATGTACCCGAATGTGTTTTTAATAAGATGTTTGCAGGTAGGTGTTGCACAGCAGTGGCCAGAGCCATGCCCACCTCCCAAAAGCAGGCAGCAGCCCCTGCTCTCTCTCAGCAGCACACCTGGGAGGGGGATGCCGGGGCGGCTTCCCCACCTGGGACCCCCTCACCTGGGCCATCTGCACACCCATAAAAGTCCACACCTGTACTCTTCCCATCCTTTTGGGCTCTGCTTCCTTGTGCTCCTTTTGGTGGAGGGCAGATGGCTATATTTTTAGGGCTAATGCAAACCTATCTATTCTTAAGCCTTGGATCTTGAGACTGGAGGTCTCGTGGTTTTGGGGGTTTGGTTTTTTTTTTAAATAAGGTGGCAGTATTTCTAGTCTCAGGGCTTGTACTAAAGGGAAGAAGCCTGAAAACATGTCCTGAAAGTTTGAAGAGAAGTACATAGTATCAGCAAATGTAGGTGGTTTTCTGTTTCAAGTCCTGTGGTTTATTTTCTTCCCTACTTCATCCTGGCCACCCTGGGCAGCAGCTGGTGTGGTATTTGCACGTCTGGGGTCTGCGGCCCTGAGAAAGCCTCTAGAAATCTTGAGAGTAACTGTGTTCTTCAGCTAAAAAGGGGTGTTCCCCTGCCTACAGTGCTAGCACCCTCTTCTTGGAGTGGTGGTGGTGGTCTTCTCCTCTCATAGCTCTGGCTTTCTTGTGAAATCCGCTGAGGGTAGGTAGAGGCTGAGCTGCTCCAGTGCTGGCAGCGTGGTTGCTATGTGGGGGCTGGGACAGAGCTCACTGTGAGGGTCCCTGTCCTCCAGCGAGTGGGAATGTTTGTGCGCCAGTGCCCATCAGGGCTGCCGGAACTCTGCAGAGCCATGCTAGGTGCTGTGCTGAGTGCCATTCAAACCCAGCACAGGGCAAAAATGGGAAAAAAACCCAAGTCCCCTTTGGGCTGCAAATATTTAGATTATTTCCAGGGGCTGGTTATTGCTCGGGGAAGCCTGGAGGCATGTGGGGCTGCTGTCATGTGGCTTTTTGCAGGAGCAGGGTGGCTGCTCGTGCCTGGGAGGAAGGGGCTCCTTCCAACCCTGGGGGGTCGGGGGCCCAACGGTGCCACCGAGGGGATGCTCTCTGCTCCCCCTCCCCGGCGAGCCTGGCGCCGTGTGGTTTGGGATTCAGGGCAGTGGTGAAATGCCCCAGTTTGGCCCCCGGTTGTTTTTCTGTCTCCCAGTGACATCTGGTGTGTTGCTGCGAGTTCCCAGAAAGAGGCCCTGATGGAGGATGTCAGGGTAGGAAGAAAGGAGCTGACCTTGCTATTAAAAGGCAACAGAAATGGAAATGTTTCAGGCTGTTTCTAGCAGACATTTCTGGGAAGAAAATCTCCTTGCTCTGCTCCATCAGGCCCTCATGGGCAGCTTTTCTCTGCTAATTGTTCACTTGATGCCACGCTGGAGATGCTTAATTTATCCTCGCCCCAATTGCTGCATCTGAAAAGATCTTGTGGAGTTTGAGAAGGATTTAAGTCCTATTGATCCCTCATGACTTCGTATGTTCCTGGCCTTATAGTGACAGCAACAACCCCAATGCTCTCGGATCAAAGATGCTCATCTCGAGTGGGAAGAGTTTGGGGCCAGATCCTGCTCTGAGTCTGAAGCAATTCTGGTGAATTCAGCCCAGCATTCCCAGCAGCACCTCTTTAAAGAGGGAATTTCTTGCAAATTTCTGATCCCTGCTCTAAGCAGGGTGCTGTGACGGAAGGAAACCTTGCCATTGCCTGGCTGCTGCTCGTGATGGGGGAGAAGTGGAGTAATTATCGAGATTAGCAAGAATAAGCTTTGCTTACAGCTTGAGATGAATGAATGTTTTAAACCCTCTTGGCTTTTTGGCCGAGATCAAATGTGGCATCAGTTTAACATCTGTATCCTTTATCTGGGGAGTAGGAAGACTAACCTTTGCTGACGCAGGGTGTGAACTTGATTTAAAAGGGCTTTCCTTCAATTTTTTTCCCCTGGGCTGTTCGATCCTGCTAGGTGATATCATGGGGAGCAGGGGCTGCTTTGCCTGCCTGCAAGGGAAGGGGAAGAGGAGGACAGCATTGTAGGCTGTGCTGGATATTTGGAGAATGATGAGAGCAGTGAGTGTGAAATGTGCCTTGGGGTGGACCTGTGTGCTTGAGGACAGCGCGGGCAGGGTGACAGCAGGCAGCCATTGGGATTGAGATGTACGGATAGTCCCTGCTGGCTGCAGAGCGATCGGTTCCCCTGGTTCAGGCTCGTCCAAGCTGTTGTCTGCTGAGCCGCAGCTGACAGCGTATCTCGGAAAACCCAAACAGTGTATCTGCTGCAAAGGCATAAATCATCCCGGGTGCCGTCTAC